TTCAGTTTTTTTCCATTAGTCTCATTGCAGTTGATATCTGGATATTTGTGCTTTTTCACATCTGGAAAACAACTGTTGTGATATTTGTGTTTATATCTAGTTTTTCTATTGCTTCATTTAGTAATTATTTGACTCAATTTGAAAAATAATGATGAAAATATCAGTGCCATGAAATAAACTTGTCACATCGCATTTTGATTAACTTAGATCACAAAATTCTGTTCGCTCGTTTTTGCACATGTTTCGAATGAAAATATTAGTGTTAATGTTACCTATAATCGCAAAATAACTGATTTAGATACTACGAAATCGGTTTTGGTTTTCAAATTTTTATTCTTATTGCCTAATAGTACCCAATGGAAGTCACCTGGAGTATTCAGAACTGAAGCGACGCATAACAGAAAGTTGAACCAAATGATGTACGCCATCGATATAGTGAAGAACAAGGCGATGTACCGAATTGTTAAAGTGGCAAAAAAGCTCGAATGGAAGCTTTTTATTTCAGATTGGTTGGAATTAAACGACCAAAGGTTCAGACAGCTTTCAATTCATACGTTTCGCATTATTTCTTATATTCCTCTCTCTCGCATTCTTATTTTCCGATCTCTGAACCAGCAGTCGATGAATACGCTTTTGGACTGCTAGAAGTAGTGAAGGCTACTAGAAATAGTGAAAGGTTGAAAGTTTCGACGACACGGAGAATGAGAAAATTTGCATGGATTGAAACTGGCGGATTATTGGTATTGCATGAATTGAAACTGGCGGATTACCGGCGTATATTTTTACACGAATTTATTGAATTAAAATCTTATTTTTAAAAATCAATTGTGAAAAAAGATTCAACACTTTTTGCTCATTTCTTAACTATCGTAGATTCTAACAAATTTTCGTTATTTAAATTACGAAATTCAAGCATTCATTCTCGGAAATATTTTAATTTTACTGATTCACCAAAAATTTGAAATTTCTTTGCACTAAATGTATACTAAATTATTGAACCTTTGAGCTTTGAACTAAGCTGTTTACACAATACTTCCTTTTGTCAATCATCAATGAATTTTTTTTCTGAGCAAGATCACTTATCATCATCGTTTACTTGAACTGGGCAGTAGGAGTTTCATTGCAGTTTAGGTGATCAAATGAAAGTTGCGTTTGTCCAATGAATTAATTTGCATGAT